CCATGGGGACTGGCCAGAGCAGGAACAGGGGCCGGCCGCCGTGGGTGAGGCCGCCAGACTCCCGCCCCGGGGAAGTCCTGGGGCTTCGGGAAGTTTCTTTCACACACATCACGTCACTGCAACTGCCCAGGACCTGCTGAGAAAGGTAGTGTCTTCTGCAGGGTACCGAGAAGGAGAGGACGTCACAGCTACAACCCCACGGAGACCAGATGCCCCTCGCCCGTCCTGTGTTCCGGGTCACCTCTGACCGGGGAGTGCGGCCCGCCGTGGGCACCCCAAGGCCCACACAGATGTGAGTGGGTGGGCTCCTGCCGCCCCAAGGTCGCCAAGAGCTGGAGAAAGCTCCCTCTGTCGTCCTCCTTCTTTCTCACGGGAGCGTTGACACCAAGTGAGCACACGGTGACAGGTGAGACCCCGCTGCCGGGAAGCGGCCCCGCGAACCACAGTGGGCTCAGCCCGCGCTGACCCCTGCCAGGGAGTTAGCAGATGGACCGTCTCAGGGTCGAGAGCCGAACCTAGCCTGAAAGGGCAAAATGAAGGGCTTTCCTGGATCCTCGCTGTCTAAGTGACTGTCCATTCCAAGACGCATCTTGGCGGGTCCTTAGCCCCCATCAGCCCAAACCTCAGACCGGAGAGGTTGGGTCCTGGGATCCTTCTGCCAGAAGCCGGGGCAGGCCAGGCACCAGCCTGGGAGCCACACACGGGTCTGCGTCGCAGGCTGGTGTCTGGAGGCCCGGGCTCCCTCGGGCTGACCAGCTGGGACACTTTGAACCAGGGCCCTAATCTCGCTGACTCTCCGTTTCCTTGTCTATCAAATGTGCCCGGCCTACGAAGAGGGTTGTTGTGGGGGCAGATGAGATCCTGTGTGCCCGGCTCCGTAATGAGGCAGGCGCTGAGCAAAGGGAGGAGGGCGGCCCCCTCCCTCTGACCACACAATTGAGGGGAGCAAAGGCCGACAAGGACATTCAACTCTGTTGGAAGAACCAGAGATCGTAAGGTGAGGCCTCTGCCCCCTCCCTGGCCTGCTCTGCCTCCTTTGGCTCGGCCCTGTGGTGCCAGGTCTGAGTTAGGCCAGGAAGGCCAGTGACTCAGGGTGACCTCACTCCTCTTGGTCTTGGTGGTTCCTTCTGTAAAATGGGCACAGCAGCTCTTGGTTAAACGATCTCCCAATGAAAGGCCCTTGATGGCTGCGGAACTCTCTTATTACCCTCACAACTGCTCCTAGCTCTTACTCATCGGCCCAGGAAAATGTGTGAAAGGGGGAGAGCCCAGAAAAGAATAAAAAAATAAAGAAAATAAACTGCACTCGCAATCCAGACCTCAGAGCTTGCTGGGTCTCACACCACTCCTCACCATAGCCAAAGACAAGTTACCATTTAACCAGGCCATGGGAATTAGGGCCAAATGCTCCAAATGGCAAACCAGCAGGACCTGTTTGCTGGGAGGCAATAGCCCCACTGGACCTGGTACGTGGCTGCCCTCCTACAGCCTTCCACCTCCTACCAGGCCCAGCCCAGCAAGGTGACCTTGGCAAGTCTCCTGACCTTCCCTAGCATGTAGCATGTGTCCCAGGGGACATGGGGGGAGGGGCCACCGGGAGGAACCAGAGATGGGGCTTGGGGGGGGAACACCCAGATATCCAAGGGGGAAAGAAGGGGTGTCCTCCAGACTTGGCTGGGCAAGCCCAGAGCAATCCCAGAGTCCAGGAGAGGTTGGGAGAGGGAGATTCAGCAAGGGCTAGAGAGAAGGGGGCCCCCCAAAATCTACAGACTGGGGGCCATGGGGGCCAGAGAAGGGACAGATCCCACCTCCTCCCTCAGCCCTCCCACTGTAACACGGAGGCCAGGTCGGCCCTGGGAGGTCTCCCCCCTTGGGTTCCTCCTGAAGCAGGGTCAGGTCTTAATCACCCCAGAGGCCCCCACATGTCAGATACCGGAGATATAATCAGTGCTTATGAAATAACTGGTTGGCTCTAGTTTTTCTCCCCAAAGCCCCAACTTTTGGTTGAGGAGGGTGTGGGAAGATACTTACATCTTACTTTACTGTTTTCTTTTCTTTTCTTTTTTTTTTTAAAGATTTTATTTATTTGAGAGAGAGAGAATGAGAGATAGAGAGCATGAGAGGGGGGAGGGTCAGAGGGAGAAGCAGACTCCCCGCTGAGCAGGGAGCCCGATGCGGGACTCGATCCCGGGACTCCAGGATCATGACCTGAGCCGAAAGCAGTCGCTTAACCAACTAAGCCACCCAGGCGCCCTTCTTTTTTTTTTTTTTGCCCAACCTGGGGCTTGAACTCCCGACCCAGAGCTGGAGACGGGAGCTGAGGTCAAGAGTCAGTTGCTTAACTGACTGAGCCACCCAGGTGCCCCTACTTTACTATTTTTTTAGAAAAATTCTTTGCCTAAAGTGACATCAGATTATATGTTTACCCTTTTTAAAGTTTTAAGGAAATTTAAATTATAAAATATTTCAAACATACAGAGAAGAGCAGATAGCCACACACCCAACCCTAAGCCTGAACAAATGTTAACATCGTGCTATATTTTCTTTAGGTCTCCTTTGGTCAAAAAGTTAAATGTTGACAATAGAACCCAAGTGCCATCCTTAGTCTATGTCCTTCTTCCCTCTTCAGAGGAGGCCTTGAACTTGAAATTGATGCATTTTCCATGTGCGTTTTCAAACTTTTACTACAGAGATGGGTCCATAAGCAACCTACAGTGTTGTTCTGATGTTCATAAAATTCTGTTGAAATGTGAGCTGTGGACTGAGGAGTGGTGCAGGGTTTTCCTCCTTGGTCCTCTGGGGCCTGGCCTATGAGTTACCTCTAGGGTGGGGGCTGCAGGAGGCCGGGCCCAAGCTCTCACCCTCTTCAAACAGGGGCAACTCTCTCCTCTGATTTATAGATTGGGCTTCTGTGTGAGATGTCCTTGGAAAAAGAGGTTCTGCTGCTTAAAATCACAAGTCTAATGGAAACCTCTCTCCTGACAGAGGATGTATCTAGGGCCCAGAGAGGGCAGGTGACTTGCTCAAGGTCACACAGCAAGTTGAGTGGCAGTGCCCATTGATGCCCAATTCTGGGCTCTCAGCCTCCCCACCAGCCTCCCTTGTTAAACAAAGAAAAGAGAGATGAGCACCCAGCCTCAAAGGTTGATTTGCTCCTGCACTGGGGAAAGGAAAAGCAGTTTGGACCGGGGCCTATGAGGAGGAATCACAGGGCACAAGGAAAGCCTGGGACGTGTGCTGCCCGATATGACAGCCACAAGCCACATGTGGCTGCTGAGCACTGAGAAGGACCAGACCAGAAGGTTCTGCAAGAGTGAGCTACACACAGGCCTTCAAAGACTTAGTACGGAAAAAGGATGTAAAAGATCGCATTCATTTTTATGTTGATTACATGTTGAAATGATAATATTCTGGGTATGTTGGGTTAGGTAAAATATGTTCCTAAAATTAATTTTATCCGTTTCTTTGTACTTTTTAAAATGTGGCGGTAGACAAATTTAAAATTATGTATGGGCTAGCATTCTACTTCTGCTGGACAGTGCTGCTCTAGGCCTTATATCCAGTGGCCAAAGGCAAAGCAGGCCGCAGAGAGTGAGGCTGGAGCTGGAGAAAGACGGGCTCCGGGAGCCCTGAGCTGGGGGACTCTACACAGAATGCACTCCAGGCTGCAGGATTCTGATCAGAAGGGGATGAACCATGCAATTGCCCTCCTGCCCCCCTGTCAGGGGCTTCTCTCTCCGAGGTCCTCCTGCCCTGGTCCCCCGGGATCCCAGCTCACCCTTGCCTCTGTCCTTGAGAACCCTGGCATTCCCCCCACCCCACGCTCCACCGTGGTCTGCACAGACTCTAGGGAACTGGGACAGTGTGAGTCCTCTCTTGCAGATCTCTGGCCTCTCTTTCCTGGAATGATGGCAGGGGTCTTTGCAGCCCCCACCCCATCTTCCCTGCCCCATGGAAGTTGAGTGCTAGAACCGGACTCTTCCTCCTGAGCCCCCTCCCACACACATCACTTGACCTCCAGGAGAGGGACCCCGGGCTCTAGTGTGGGCTGCAGAACCCCCCCCACACACACACCGCTCCTGCCCCCCATGGTAGCAGGCACATTCCAGGGCTCCTGGGTGTGAGAGGGGCCGCTGAAGGGCCTCCGTGTCTGGCATCGTGGGAGATGCCTGGCCCACTCCCAGGGAGCCTTCCACGAGGACTGTCTCCCCGTGCACCATGGCCCAGGTCTGCGGTTCCAGCCAATTATTCTGTCGTCCCCAGAGTTGGCAAAGTGTGACACTTCCCTGTTGGAACTTCCCAGCTATCTCCCTGTGCAGCTGGGAGCTGTCAGCCCGCAGCTTTTCTCTGGTAAGGTAGGGATGAGGAGCGGAGGGGGGGGCTGTGTGCAGTGGGGGGGTGGGGGGCTGCACCGCCTATCAGAAAATGAGAAAAATGTCAGGCGCTTAAGCGCATATGACAGATAGCAACCTTTCCTCCCCATGGGGGAAACAGAATCCAGGATGTATCAACTTTGGAGTTTTCAGTGGATTGGGGAAAAAAACCCACCCCGGCAACCTCTGCTACTACAAAATAATGCATAGGCACGTAGTAAAATATTCCAATGATACCAAAGCCAAGTTTTTAAAAAAATTGACACATAATTCACCTTTCACTTTTGGCTTTTGAAAATCCAAAGGTGGGTGCTGATAGGAAGCTCTGGGACTCTCCCTCCGCCTTGCTCCACCTTGCTCTTGGGGAATCCAAGTGACTGAATTTTACAAGACACTTCCTTGGAAATATGCTTTCTAATTTAGAAAAAAGTCGTCAACAGAGCCCTGCGCCCCAGAAACCACAGACTATGAAGAATGAGCATACGTGTTGAGAGTTCACTGTTTTAATCAAATAAAACCTACAACAAAGTTAATCTGACACATAGTTAATGAGATAATCATTGTTGCGCTTCACGGGAATTAGGCATTAATGGGAAGCAGTTTTTATAAATGACGGTAATTATACCGCTGCCTTTACTCAGCCAAAATTTTAAGGCTTTTTCTTCTTGTTTTGTTACTTCCCTTGTATATGCTGTCGGTCTCTGTGATGAAGTTTCCTGTGGGTCTTGGTGTGGTGTTGTCACTGTCGCCGCCCGCCCCACCCCACCCCCACGCGGGGCACGGGCTCAGGCGACGGCGAGGTTTTCGTTAGCACCTACCATGTGCCACTTCACGAAGCATTCAGCTCGGATTATCCTGTTTCATCCTCACGAGAATCTCCAGAAATAGGTATGTTTAGCTTGAGGCTCACAAAAGAGAAAAGGGACGTTCAGGCTGGTTAAGCCACCCGCGGTCACGGTCACGGAGGCAGGACTTGGCCAACCCGGGGAAGGTTGAGCCTGTGGCTGGAGCGGAAGCACCGTGCCAGACAGCCCTTCTCCCCTGTTCCTGGCTGGCCCCGGCTCCCTGGGGACACCCTGTGATGGGCAGTTGAGGGCAACAGGCCCTGGGGCGGGGGGAGGAAAGGGGGCTCAAGGCAGCAAGGGCTTGGCAGCCACATGGACCAAAGTTCAAATCCCAGCCACTTACACACTGGTCGTGGGACCCCTCTGGGCCTCATTAGCAGTGTCCTCCGCCATCAGGTGGGGAGGGGTTCTGGGCACCGGGGCTGATGAAGGCCTAGTGCAGGCTGCACACACGGGTGGTGAACAGGAGCAGGCCTGTCCTGGGGGTGCAGGATTGGCCGCAAGGACAGGGGTTGCACAGACCCCTACCTGGAAGGTGTGGGGTCCAGTGAGGGAAACAAGCGGGGAAAGCAGGTTTCCCGCTGAGCTCTGTGATCCGGGGGGCACCCAAGGGGCGACAGAATCCCAGCCTCTCACCAGGACTCACTGCAGGTCAGTTCAGGTTTCGTGAGCAAGGAGAACCCCCACTTTCATCGCACATCTCCCCGAAAAGCCTGCAGTCCCCTCCGTAGTCCTTTCACGCTGCTCTCGGGTACAAAGGGTTAAGCCCTTGCGTCCAGTCCAGCCCGAGGCACAGGGAGGGGTCAGCCAGCAGGAAACCCTAGGTGGGAAGGGAACAGAACCCAGAGCCTGCAAACGCAGTCCAAGACAAACTTCTGCCACCTTACCATTTTGCCCTGGGCCTGACCTATTTGCCGTGACCAACAGGGGGATAAAGAGAGGTTATGTGCAAAGGGACTTTGTGTCCCTGTGGCAGGAGGCCAGCTGGGAACTCTTGTCACCAGCTGGCTGGGCTGGGATCCCAGGGCATGATCTAAACCATCAGGGTCATTGGCAAAGCAGGACTGAGTGGAGGCTGTTGTGAGGCCTGGAGGGGCTTCTGTCCTCAGGCCGTGGACCACGAGCGTCCCTGGGGCTGGCAGGGTCATCTGGGGCCTGTGGAGTCCTGGGCACTGACCAGAGTACAGAGAGCAAGAGTCACAGGGCTGCATCTAGGCTACACTTGGGGCTGAGTTTTAAATCTGCCCCCTTCCAGCAGTGAGACCCCGGGCAAGCTACTTACTTCCTCGGAGTCCCAGTTCCCATCTGTGAAATGTGTCTTGTCAGCTGGGCTGTTGTGAAGACGTGTGTACTCTGACTCGCATGTTGAGTTCAGTGGCTGACTCAAATGAGGGCTCTGTCAACGTCAGCCATTCATAACAACAATAAATATTATGATGATTCCTTCCGGAAATACCTGTGGAGCACCTGTGATGGCCAGGCCCTGTGCAGGGTGCTCTTGGACTATGAAGGTGAGTAAGATGAGTCCCACCCACCCCACCCCCCAGGAGGCATGTACACGATTAATTCTAACCGACATCTGAGAGCACTGAGTGACGTGAAGAGATGTGTGCTGGGATGGCATTCAGGGAAGGCTTCCTGGAGGAGGCAGCCTTTCAGCTGGGCTTGGGCAAGTGGCTAAGACTGTGGAGGTGGGGGAAGAGAGGAAGGGCATGACTGCATGAGGAAGGAAGCAGAGCTGTGAAAGAGCATGCAAGTTCAGGGCACACGGAAGCTCTGTGTGGCTGGAGCACGGTGTCCAGTGGGGGCCCAGGGGAGCCGTCAGAGGGAGAGCGTTACAGTCCCACAGACATGCCAGTCTGCTTCTGCCTTACTGCGTGACCCTGAGCCAGTCACTTCCTGTCTCTGCACCTGATGGATGGCTCCCCATCTTTCCCTCCGAGAACTTGAGTTACCCCCTTCATTTTTTTCATTCTCCCTCCCACGCAGGCTGAGTCTTTGTATGACGAAGTCGCTGAAGGTTTTGACCATGGCTGTGAATGATCAGTCCCAGGCAAAGTGTAAAATCCCAAAGTGTGGGGGTGGGTGGGAGGATGGGAGGGCCCCACCGTAGTCCAGGAGGGTTAGATGGGGCCTGGGCTGAGGGAGTGGAAAAGAAGGGTGGGGGGCGTGTAGGGGGTTGGGATGAGAGCGGTGAAGGAGAAAACACTATTTCTGCCTGGAGGTCTGGAGGAGGGGCGAGGAGGAGGAGGAATCAGGGGTGGCGGATGCGGGTCAGAAGCAGGGCCTGGGTGACCCTCCAAAGGGAATCCAGCCCCAGGGACAGCGCCCCTGGCCAAAGGGACAGCTCCCTGTGCCAGAGAGGGTCTTATGGGCTGATGTGAGGGCACGTTGAATTAGAAGCACCTGTAAGACGCGGCAGTGAGGTCTTCAGTAGGGAAGGGAGTTAGGAGCAGGGGCTCCCAGTTTGGACGTTGCTAGATGGGGCCAAGACTGGAAACGCAGGTGATCCCATCCAGCTCAGGGCCTTTGACTGGCGGGGGACAGGAAAAGAGAATGACATGGAAGTGACAGCCTTGGGCCTCGCCCTCCCCCTTCTGTGGCATTAGAGGTCTTGACTGGGTTTGTAAGGGGACCAGCTCTCCTGCACCTTTGCTTTAACCCCCGTGAGATGGTCTGGAGAACAGCCTCTGTTCCCAGGTGCAGTCTCCTTACCAAGACACCTGTTCTCTTTCCCTTGGGAAAATCCTAAGTTGCCCCCACCTCGGCCCCTTCCACTTCCACTGTCACTGCTCTGAATTCTTGTGGGTTGGGCAGGCAAGCGAGGAACAGAGCGGTTTGTGCTGGGGCAGGTCTTGGGGCCCAAGCCCCTGTCCTGCTGGCCATTTTCTTTGGCATCTGATGGGAGGCCTGGCCCAGGTAGGCGGGACCCAGGAGACTGGTGCCTGATGAGTTACTGATGTGCTGGCCAATGGGACACACTCGGGCCTCCTAACCCCGCAACTCAAGGGGTCTTAAAGATCACCTCGTCTTGGCTCCCTAGCCCCCACCACCCCCACCAGACCAGGGGCTGGGGCTGGGGCTGGGGCTGACTTTTTATCTTTTGAAAAGCCTAGCAGAAACAGAACGTTTATCTGTGTGAAGGCTACACAGGCTTAACTAAAATGTCAAGTTTCTTTGCTGGAATTGTAACGGGGAACATGATAAATGTACATTTGTTCAGTCATTGCTAATTCAAGACCCTGTTTTATATGAAACAAAACCCCAGTATGTCGCTCAGAAGCTCTGATTGCTTTTGTTTCATACGAAATCGGCTCCTGAATTAATAATAACTGAATGCATGTAAGTTGATAGCCCTAAACTTTTCAAACATGGAGTGTGTGTGTGTGTGTGTGTGTGTGTGTGTGTGTGTGTGTGTGCTGCAGGGCAGAGCTGAGATAATAAGTGAAGATGTTCTCATTTTATAGATGAGAAAACCAAGGTGCAGAGGGTGAGTGGCCAGCTCCAGGTCACGTCATGCGGCAGGGGTCACCCCCAGGCACGGCCAGGCCCACGGCGTCTGGAGCCCCTAGCCCTGGGCGCTCCCTGGCCAGTACAGGGCAGTTAGGAGGAGGGGAAGAGTTAGCTAACTTTGCACCTTCAGGCCAGGGCCAGCAGCTGCCTGGAAGACAAGGGGAGAGGACCCCTGGGAATACACAGCCCGTGGATTGGAGAGACTGAGCAAGGCAAGGAAAACAGGTGCCGGTGAGAACAGGGAAACGGGGGAGGGGAAACAGACAAAGAGAGGTGGATGGGACCAGACAGAGAGGAGGAGCCGAGGCACCGACGTGGTCCGTGGTCCCGGAGGGCAGATCCCGTGGTGAGCAGAACCTGGTCCCAGGCCCGCCCTCTCCGTAGGTCTGAAGGGAGGACCTTGGCCTCAGCTGGCTCTGGCCTCAGTGGGCAAGGGCAATGCCCATACCTGGGGGGCAGGGTTGCCCTTTGACAAACGAGCGGCAGCCGTACTCCCCCCACCAACCCACCCCCTGCCCCCAAGAGCCACTCAGCCACTGCGGCAAACAGTCCCTTTGTTTCATAGGCCCTGCCCTGGAGAACTCTTGTTCAGAACCAACCCCATTAAAAATCCCTCGCCCAGCAACTAACTGGGAGCCCAGTCTGGAGTGGGGGAAAGGGCACTGAGCTAAGGGTTCAAAGTCCACGGCTCCAGGCCTTGTCCCGTCACCAACTCCCAGACTCACTCTGGGGGCCGTTCAGCCATCCCCACTCAAGAGTAAAGGTTTTGGGTGACTTCCGGGTTCCCAGGGCTGGCAGTGAATTTGGTTGGGGAGCTGGGTGGGAGCTGGGGTGTTGCTTCCTTCCCCCGTGGGCTTGCTGTGCAGGCTGGGTATCGGGCGGCCTCTCTCCTCTGCCCGCAGCAGGGCTGTGGGGACCTGCCGGGGCCCTCGGGTCCTGTGCTTGGGCAGCAAGCCGGCACCTGCGTGAGGGTGGCTGGGCGTCCTGCCCGGGGAAACTGGGCCCAGGCCCTCTTGTTCAGCCAGAAATTCCAGCCTTTTAAGGATCAAGGGCCAGAGAGGGACCTTTTCCAGGCCGCCAGGGAGCTGTTTTTCCAGCTTGGTGGTATCACCGGGCCTTGAGGGAGACTTCCCTGATCTTTGATTGGGCTTTCAGGAAAGGCATTTGTCTGCACCTTGTAGGAGGAGCCGGCGGGCTTGTGGCCACTTCTGTCAGCACAGAGGCTCCAGCTCTCTCATCCAGGCCCTTGGGAAGGAATGACTTTTTAAATCAACTTTATTGAAGTCTGATTTACATACAATAAAATGCACCCGTTTTAGATGTACTGTTTGAGGAGTCATAAATGTATGTGCTGTGTACCTAGCACAGTAATCAAGGCATAGAACATTTCCATCGGCCTAAAAGGGTCCCTTGTGTTCTCTTCCCAGTCACCCCCTACCCTGGCCCCAGGCATCCACCAATCAGCTTTCTGTTCCCATAGATCAGATTTGTCCATCTCACATGTATTACCACACAGTTTGGACACTTGTGTCTTTTTGCTCTGCACAGTAATTTCGAGATTCAGCCATATCATTTTGTCTGTAGGTGGTTCTTTCCTTTTTCTTGCTGAGTAATATTCCCTTGTGTGGATAAATCATAGATTGTTTATCGGTTCCCTTGTTTTGGGGCATTTGGGTTGTTTCCAGCCTGCAGCTATTGTGAATAAGGGTGCCATGAACATTTGTCCGTAAGTCTTTGAGTGGATGTATGTTTTCTTTTCTCTGCATCAGTACCTACAAGGGGGATTGCTAGATTGGAGGATAAGCTTGTTTAACTCTTAAAGAACCCCCCCCCCCCCCCCCCCGCCCTGTTTCCTGGAACTGCTGTACCGTTTTTACGACACATGAGTAGGGCGGGATTTGGAATGCTGCCCTTCCCTGTCTTGGCCTTTTCTCTTCCCCGGAGACTGAGCAAAGCTGTGCGGTGGTTTGGTGCTCCAGGGGTGGGGGTGGGGGGTGGGGAGGGCCCCCTTGCCTTGCCAGAAGACATTCCCCTGCCCCCTCCACGTGGCAACTCACCGTTGAGATTCAAGTTGCTGTGCTCAGCGGAGGAGGCCTGAAGATCTATTTATACCTGAGTTTAAGCAGATGCGTTGTTGGCTAAAATGCCGTAATTCTTTTCCTTTTGCTCGTTCTCACCATTCCGTGTGAGTGTTTTTTAAACAGAGTTACGGCCACACTGGCAGCCTCACCCCGATCCCCCTGCCTGCCACCCCTCCTCCCCCCAAGGTAAAACCATTTCTTTCCAAGGTTGGGTGCTCCTGGCCTGGGTACTCCCTTCTCCCCAGTGGGGTAGGCGGTGGTGTGGCCCCAGAACTTTGCTGTTTTGCTGTTGGTGGCCCATGTCAGCTCTCACGCCCCCGTCATCTTGCTCTTAGAGAGCTCTGGGCCCCCCTAGTTCCAAAGGATGCAGCTGCCCAGAGAAAAAGGGTGAAGCTTCCTTGTTAATTGCCAAGAGGTGAGAAAGTACCAGCAGAATAAAGGCTCTTCTGTCGGAGCAGGAATTAAGGAAACCTGGGGGCCTGGCGCTGCACATCTGCCGAGCTAGGCCTAACCCATCCCTGTCCTGACGTTTTTAGGCCTGGGCCAAAGGGTGCCTCCTTCCAGATAAATTAAGATCTTCTTCCTTATAAGACTCTTGGGATATCATCTCCCTCAGATCTCAGGATACCTGGGAAAGCATTCTCTCCTGCTTGGGAAAATACCACTGCCCATTCCAGGAGTAGCTCACTTAGTTGAAAAGGACAAGCAGACTCTGCACTGAGTGCGGAGCCCGACATGGGGTTCAGTCCCAGGACCCTGAGATCATGACCTGAGCCAAAGTCAGACGCTTAATGACTGAGCCACCCAGGTGCCCCTAGAACCTTTTTTTTTTTTTTTTTTGCACCATCCACATTGGGCCCTTATGTGGGCTGTGCCTTCAAGAAAAATAAATCTCAGAGATAACGATCCTTGCCCAA